TCTATTTCTCAAGAGTAGGTCAAGTTTTGCCCCATTCCGAGTAAGTCCCTCTATATGTTGCCCGAGGAAACTTTCCTGAATACATTTAACAAATTCCACAACATCTAAGCCCTGAACACCTGCCTACCTCTCCTAGTGGTAAACCATCTACCTGACTGCATCTGCAGTTTTCCTGAAGCTGCCATCCATCACACCCTCAGCTCCTGTAAATTCCTCATTGTCTCTGTCACTCCAAATGATCCATGCGATCCAACAATAGGATTTGTAATCAAACATTTCCTGCAGACAGAGTCTCCAGGAATGTTTAAATTCACCCTGATGTCCCACATCTGACAGAAAGGCCACATCGCTTTTCTAAAAGCCATATCTGCCCCTTTAACAATCTAAAAATCCAGAAAATAGCTAAAAACAAACAACACACTATTGCTCAAAAACTCAGCAACAGCACAGTCTTACTGCTCAAAACACTGTAGTGGGACAACTTAATACCTACCTTTATTTTAAAATTCAATCAATCAAGAGACAGATCTCAGTAAAGCATGTAGAAAAATACCCTCACCCTACCCACTATTATAGATTTACAGAAGAAAAACAGATTTCAATTTAAGTTTTAAAAGTCTTAAAATCAAACACTTAGTTGCTAAGGCTCTGAAATCATCAGCGAGTTCTCCGAGCTGCAGTGTGCAATTCTGATATTGGGTCTCCAAAGGTCAGCTGTGAAACTATACTCATTTTTTGACCAATCTTCAGAGACGTTTGCAATCATGGCATCATTAACAAACCTGTGTGTGTAGGCTTACAAGTCCCTCAGCTAAGTTATTACAATGAGTTTGACAAAGTTCCGCACTGTAGACTAATTAGTAACGTTAGGTCACATGGGATTCAGGGTGAGCTTGCCAATTGGATACATAATTGGCTTAACAGCAGGAGACAGAGAATAATAGTGGAGAGTTGCTTTTCGGACTGGAGCCCTGAGACCAGCGGTGTCCCAAAGGGATTGGTTCTGAGTCCTCTTTTGTTTGTCACTTATATAAATAATTTGGATGAGAATACAGAAGTCATGGTTAGTAAGTTTGCAGACAACACCAAAACTGGTGGCACAGTAAAGTGAAGATTTTCTAAGATTACAAAGGATCAAATTGGTCAATGGGCTGAAACATGGCAGGTGGAGTTCAATCTGCAAAGATGTGAGATATTGCAATTTGGAACAACAGGTTTAGGACTTATGCAATTAATGGTAGGGCCTTGGATCGTGTTGTAGAACAGAAGGACCTAAGGGTTCAGGTACATAATTCTTTAAAGGTTGCATTATACATGGACGAGATGGTTAAAAGGGCATTTGGCATGCTTGCCTTCATTATTCAGTCCTTTGAGTATAGGAATTGGGAAGTCATGATATGCAGGACATTTTTTGAGGCCTCTGCTGGATTACTGTATCCAGTTCTGATTGCCCTGCTATAGGAAGGATATTATTAAGCTAGAGAGGGCTCAGAAGAGATTTCCCAGGATGTTGCCAGGTTTGAAAGTTTGAGTTATAAAGAAAAGCTGGATAGGCTATGACCATTCTTTTTTCCACTGGAGCATAGGAGGTTTATAAAGTCATGAGGGGTATAGATAGGGTTAATGGTAGGTGTCTTTTCCCTAGATGAGTGGGCATATTTTTGAGGTGAGAGAAGAGATTTAAAAAAAACGAGGGGCAAATTTTTTTTTACATAGAGGGAGGTTTGCGAGTGGAATGAACTTCCTAAGGAATTGGTGGATGTGGACATAGTTACAATGTTTAAAAGACAGATAAGTACATGAATAAGAAATTTTTGGATGGATATGGGCCAGGAGCAGCAGGTGGAACTAGTTTGGTTTGGGTTTATGTTCAGCATGGACTGGTTGGACCGAAGGGTCTGTTTCCATGGTATGAATCTATGGGTGAGTGAATGGTTGATGTCCCATTAGATCCATGTAGCATTCCACTCTATCCCCACCCTGAAAGTACCACCTATCATTCCCCACTCCATCTTCTGCACAAACAATGATAAAAAGGACTGATATAGGTAGACTCTCAATGTCGTTAGGGAGGGAATTCCAGGATTTTGACACAGTGACAGTGAAGGAATGGCAATATATTTCCAAGATTTTGAGGAAACCTACAAGTGGTGGCGGCCCCATGCATCTGCTGCTTTTGTCCTTCTGGGTAATGAAGGTCACAACTTCGGAAAATACTATCAGATGAGCCTTCCCGAGTTACTGCAGTGCATGTTATAAATGGTACACAGTGAGTGTTAGTGGCAAAGGAGGTGAATGTTGAAGGTGGTGGATGTGATGTTAATCAAGCAGGCTGCTTTGTTGTGGATGGCGTCAAGCTTCTTGCCAGCTGAGCGGCTCTTGTAGCCATCCACATATTTATACGGACGGTTCACTTGTGTCACCGGTCATTTGTAGATCCAATACATTGAAGAAAAGTCAATGAGTGACAGTAATTCATTGAATGTCAAAGAAAGATGTTTAGGTTCTCTTTCATTGGAGATGGCTATTGTCTGGCACTTACATAGTACAAATGTTTCTGGCCATTTATCAGCCCAAGGCTGGATATTATTCCGGTCTTGCTACATATGGGCACCAATTGTTTCCAAGGAGTTACAAATGATGTAGAACATTGTATAACCACTGAACATCCCCATTTTTGACCATTGATGAAACAGCCAAAGACATTTAGGTCAAGGCACTAACCGGAGGAACTCCTGGAGTGACATCTGGGACTGAGAGTATTGGCCTCCATCATCAACTCCAATTTTCTCTTTGGGTTCTTTGATGCTATTCTTGGTCAACAGCAGTCAGTGTCACCTCAACTAGAGTTCAGTTCTTTAGTCTAAGTTTGGAGCGAGGTTGTAATGAGGCCAGGAGCCACATGGCGGAACTAAAAAGTCAGCATTAGTGAATTGATTATTACTGAATTAAGTGCAGCTTGATAGCACCATCAACATCATGCAGCTCTCTGGTGACCAGGAATAGACTACTGGGGTGGAATTTGGCCAGTCTGGATTTGTTCTGATTTTTCTAGACTGGTATCTACCTGGGCAAGTAGATACCAATGTTGTACTGCCAGCACTCCAAACTAAAGCCGCAGTTTAAAGCTAATTTTGTAGAAGTATAAACGTGCATCTATATTGTTCTTAGCTACTTCCTTTCAATCCCTGACATGGAAGCCATCTGGTCCCATGGTCTTATGTTTAACTAAGTTTGGAATTTTTTGATGTGGTAACAGGGAGGATCGCTATCTGGGTGACTCGGTTGGAATGGGCTTCTGAAAAGCAATGGATAAAGTGCTACACAGCAAACTTGTGAGCAAAGTTGGAACTCATTGAATAAAAGACAGCAGCAACCTGGATATGAAATTAGCTGAGTGACAGATAAGCAATGATTCACCATTATTCTTTCAGGTTGGCAAAAGGCTCATAGCAGAATTACTCAGAGGTCAGTATTAGGATTTTTGCTCTTCTTGATCCATTTTAATGAGCAACAATTTTGTATATGGAGCAAAATTTCAAAATTTGTGGATGTGGAGCTTGGAAGTACTGCAAAAGGAAGATAATGTTAAACTTCAGAAAGATAGACAGATTGGTGGAAAAGACAGCCAAGTTTCAAGGGAAATTAACGCAGAGAAGTATGAAATAATAAATTTTGATAGAAGAGTTGGACAGACAATATAAAGGGTGCAAGTCTAAAAGAGATGCAGAAGCAAAGGAACCTGGGTGTATGTGTGCACAGATCACTGAAGACAGTAGGACAGGTTGAGCACAGAGTTAGTAAAGCGTACAAGATCAGGGGTTTATAAATTGGAACATGGATTTTGACAGCAAGGCAGTTATGATAAACCTGTATAAAGCAGCAGAAAGGGGTTAGAATCTGAAACATGCTGCCTGTGAATATGATGGAGGGCAGATTCAATTGCAGAATGACAAAGGAAATTGGGTCATTATCTGAAAGGAAAATATCCCAGAAACTTCTGGCAAAAGGTAGGAAAGTGGCATTAGGCAAACTGCTATCAGATACTACAGTGTCAACATAATGGGCCAAACAGCCTGATCTTGTGTTGCAACTATTTTAAGATTCATTGTTGGAGCTTGGTTTACATCAATCTTGTTGAGCTGTTGATTCCAGATTAGCTTCCTTGGAACACCCAGTGTGTTCTCTCAAATGTAAATACAGTCACAAAGTCATCTGTCAACATGTCCACTATGTCCTTAGTCGGGGTGTTATCAACAAAAAAACAAGCTTCCAATACTGTACCCGTTCACCCCTATTTTCATCAAGTATATTATAAAAACTGCTCATTTTGGCATTCCTTGCAAGTATCTTTTCATTTTTCAGTTATACGGCACCGTTTTTTCATCTTTTGCTGTTCTTTGGAGACTTTCCATTGACCAGGATTTGTGCCATTTCTTAGCAGACTTTTCTTTGTTTTGTGTCTTTTTTACACATGCATAGTGTTTTACCTTTGAAGTAAAGCTCTGGTACTTCTACGGTTACCAGCTGGTTGGATATCACACATTTTGTTTCTAGGAACACCTCCTGTCATTTTACCTAATAACAAATTTGCTCAGTTGACTAAGGATGGTCATCATCTGGGACAACAATGAAGTCAACCCCACCCAAATCTAGAAACTCAACAGCTGTTTTGCAGTTTTCCCTTTCAAACATTTACCATTAAGCTGACCATATTATTGTTACCATTTGAAAAATCTTCACACGCTGTTGGGCTGGTAACTGAACCTGATTCATTAAAGCAACACGAAGTTCTGAAGTTAACTACCCCTTTGTTGGTCTGAGGACAACTTGCTGCAGAAAACTACCTTAAACACACAAAGAAAGTCACTATCTTTTCAATTATTCAAAGTTATAGGAGATGTGAAACCACATACTAAAAGTACACTGCATTTGATATAGAAAACATCTGTTGACCAGCAGGACAAGAGATGATTTGGCAAATCAAGAATTGCATGAAATACTCAAGGGGAAAGAAACACTTACAATTGGCCTTCTTTCCGTGTGTAAAAGGTCACTGATTTGATTGTTGCCACCACCACCACCATGCACAAGGTGACTGGCACAAACAGCATGATGACATGCTTGGCCCCATATTTAAGGGTCAGTTCTTCCTCATCGCTCTCATCATCCTCCTGAGTCTGTCTGCTGGCACTCTGAAATTGGCCATTCCTTTCTTGACAAGGGACGTCATCACTTAGCCTCCTGCGGGTGAGATCGGACTGTGAAAAGAGTTATGGAGGTTGTCATCAGACAGAAAATAAAAATGCCACCATGAAAAGTAAGATCTTGACAAAAAAACAGTAATGTGACATTTTCTTAACTACAATGAGAAAGTTTTGCAGCATTGGGCAGTGTGGGGGAAGGGGAAGAGCCTGAGTTAGGGAGGGAAAAGGGGAAGGAGGGAGGAGTGAGGGAGGGAGTGACAGAGGAGGAATGGTAGGGAGGGAGAGAAGGTTTTACGCAATCCTCTATATACAAATCATAATTCTGTGCCCCAATGGTTAAAGGCAGGGAACAAGTGTTCATGTTGTAGATGGGCAAAGAGTCAGTCTGTCAACCTTTAACTAATGAAGACATTTCCCAATGGGTGGAGCAGAAAGATAACTAAACATAACAATTATTGCGTGCACAGGCTTTAGAAACTAAACACTATTCAATAATTAATTTGGAACAAAAAGATCAGATTCTGAGTTTGAGATCAGAAAACCCCCTTACACCTCCAACATTTGTTCTTGGCCAGAATCTGGTTCAGTACTTCAAGGTGAGATTTCTCAAGAGTCAAATCAGTTGTGCAATCTTACACTTCAATGAGTCTCTGCTTTTAACTCTTTATCCCCCCACAGGGAATTGTGTTATTCTTTACCACATTAAACTATATTTTATACTTTAAATTCTTCTCTCAGAAGAAAGGTGAGAGGAATTATAATGGAAAGACCTAGAATAAGTGTTTTGAACTACAAGTCTTATCCTTAAGAAAATGTGGGGTGGGTTCCCAATTTAATGTCACAATTCAACCGCCCAGTGGAAGCTGCTGAGAAATGCTCTGTTCTCATCATGACACTGCATGTCTAATATTCATCAGGCCTTTACCGCAGCAATCACAAGCAAAAGTCGTAGTAAACCAGGCCTGAATGAGGAGACACAATATATCACCTTTGTAACAACTCATGCCCTCTGTAAGTAACTGGACTGTTCCATTATTACTGACAATAACAAGTGCCAAAAAATGAAATTTCAGGCAAAAAAAAAAGAGTTGTATGAGAAACAATTACACTAATTGAGAAGGTTCAACATCCCTTTTTATCTTGTATTCTATCTTTCCTCCCTTGTAACACTGACATATTCAAATTAAGGACTAGTGAGGTTTTATTGCAATATTACCTCCTCTGCCATTTAAAAGTGTGCAGCTGGATATGGCAATATAAAAGCTTTTAAAGTTCCAAAGTCTCATCAGGATTGAAACTGAAGTTTACTGAATATTGACAGCTGCTACATTTCAGTCCCATCAAGGAGCAATGTTATAGAAACTTCTAACCTTACAAGTTTCACCTACATGCATATAGCTCCAGGCCTCTGAAGTCATGGATGTTGCCCCAGTGGTCACTCCCTGATGAAATTCAGTTTAGAATGGATATTAAAGCTGGGAACTGTTGATCTGCATTGTTTACTAATTTATTTAACCCATTAAAGCATCAACAGATTTTCATTTAAGATGCCTGTAAGGATTAATACCTCTGAATTGTACAAACTTAATTTGAGCCAATTGGTGGAGTGTGGGATGGCCTGACACTTCAGAGTGATTAAATAAAATTTGATAGAGTGGACAGCATTTCTTCCAGATTAGGGAATCAGAATCTGGAGAAGCAAGGCAGGCTGCTCAGGACTGAAATCAGGGATCCGCATAGAAGGTAGTGCAAATGTGGGTCTTTCCACAATCTAAAACATGTGGGCATCCGACGATTCAATCATACAAGACTTTGATAGGCCTGGAATCCAGGGAAGATAAGTTTAAAAAAAATAGTACCAACATATAAACCAAATAAAGGATCAAAGATTTTGGGAATAGGGAGTAGGGATGGAGGAAAGAACAAAGAGAGAAACAAATAGCATCGCATATTTAGACAAATTGATCTAAAAGCTTAACCATTTGAAAATATTTTACACCACCGATACATGTCAGTAAATCAGCCCAGAGAGTGGCAGATAGTTTTAGGTATTCTCATTTCAGCTGTGTTTCCTACAGAAACCAAAAATAATCCTCATCATCAACAACCACATGTACCCACCAATAACTGACATAAAATTGCTTAGCTCCTGCTCAACATTAAAAATTACACAGTCACTTTGGAAATCTCTACTTCCGAATAAACAGATTTCTCCTGTTTGTTGAGGTTCCGCGAGGTATGTGTCTTGTTTGTGTGCAGCAACAAAGCTGCCTGAATATCCAGTATATCAGATATGTGGGCCAATATAACCCATACTGCTGCCTGGTCTCAGCCAGGAGCAGCTGCCTACCTGGTCAGCTCCGACAGTCTCAATGGACATCGCCTCTTTGAAGGTCAGCAAGGGAACACATTCATTTCATCAACACTGTCCATTTCCAAACAGCCCTGCTTATATCTCTGCCAGGGTTCAGTAGCAAGGCAGGCTATGTTAGAGAACAGGACAGCTGTTTGCCACTGAACTTTACACAGGAGAAACCTACACAACTAGGCAGTGAGACTCGCTTTAATTGAGTCAACACAACGTCCAGATCAAAGGATAAGACTGCAATTGAAACTAAGGACAGTGCTGTAATTTGCTAATTGTTTATTAACCAATGTAGCCTATAAATATTCTGTATAAATGCATGTTGATGTAAGAAATGTTAGATTTACATAATCTATAGATCTTCAAAGGCAATCAGCCAAAACGAGGAATAAGCCACTCAGTCCATCAAGCCTGCTCTGCCATTCCCAATCATGGCTGATCATCTATCTCAATATCACTTGCCTGCATTATCTCCATGCATGTCATCTATCTGGAACCTGTCAATGATCGAGTTTCCACAGCTCTCTGGGGTAGAGAATTCGACAAAATCACCACTACGCTAGGACAGGTGATGAAAAGCTTCACGGAATGACAGATGAGGATACAGGGATAGAAAGAAGGCAAGGGCTAAGAGAGCTCTCAGTCTATACAGCTGAAGGCATCACCACTGAGGCCAAGTTGGGGATTTGCAAGAGGCCAGAATTGGAGGAATGCAAGGAATTCAGAGGGTTGAAGGATCAGAGGTAATTAGACATGGGGAGAAATTGGAAACAAGAATGGGAGTTTTAAATCATAGGTGCTGCATGCCCTCATCATTTTGATGGGTGTGTGGGGCTTAGTGTTTCATTAGTGTTTGATTCATTTATAACAATTAAAATTTAAGTAAATACTTAATCAATGATAATTTGCCCAACAGTCAAGACCATCAAAAAGTAAACCTGGTCTCAACTCTCCAAAGTAGCAGAGTCAAAGGCCAAGGTATCAATTCAATCCTGCAGCAACAAATGAATCTTCAATGAACTGAATCACCCAAACCTAACCACTAACCTTCTTGGACCAATTAGTAAATGTAGTTCAAGCTCAACCAACAAAGTAGTGAAAAGTGAGGTAAACCCTCAGTCTGTGCAGAGTTGGCATTCAGTCAGACTGGAATTAGAGCATAAAATGGGTCTCAACAACCTGAGAGAGAGAGAAAGGTGTCAGCTTGATCATCAAACAGTGGAAATCTTTCAGAATCCAAAATAACAGAAGAAAATTAGTAACTTAGGCAATGTAACGAACAGAAGAAAGATTGTACATCTTCCAAAATGTTAACACGCATACGTATCACAGCCCAGTTTAGCATTTATGCTAAGGAATATGAACAACACAAGCAGCAAAGATGGTGATTTCACACCTGATTGGAGCTAGACTTACTAGCTTCGCTGGTGACCAGGTGGGTAAATCAGGATATGGTGACAATACTACGCTGGCCACCACTTGAAATAATACTATGCTCTTAGCTCTCACCACTTTTAGGAATCATAAACTTTCATAGCTACGAGCTTCTGATTTAAAGGTGAATTATATTGCGACAATTGATGTCCTATCGTTAAAGAGAAGAGTACAAGTTCCAAACTGATAAGTAATTCAACCTTCTTATTAGGGGTTTACACAGATGACCTAGGAGATAGTTGCAGCAGACAGTGTGTCTAAATTATGACCAGAAACTTAAGAAAGCTGCAACTGAGCTTAGAAATACAAGCAGGGCAGATCTGTAGACAAATCACAGCGAGGAGCAGGATTGTACTAGTAGGGGATTTCAACTTTGCTAACATTAACTGGGATTACCTTAAAATGAAAGGGTTAGACAGGGTGGAATTTTTAATGTACATGGCTTTTAGTGCCAGTTCATAGATAGTCCTATTAGAGGTGAGGCAGTGCATAATCCTAGGCAATGTGGCAAGTTAAGTGGCTGAAGTGGCATGGTGAACATTTTAGGGACAGTGGCCATAATTCTATGAGTTTCAAAATTGTTATGGAAAGTGATAAGGATAGTGCATTTTAGGAAGTCTAATAAGGGAATAATTTACAAAATAATTGGTACATCCCTAGGGAGTACTGAGAAGCAAAAGGACCTTGGTGTTCAAGTCCATAGATACCATGCAAGTGCCAGCACAGGTAGACATGGTGGTGAAGAAGACATACAGATGCTTGCCTTCATTAGCCAGGGTGGAGAATACAACAGCAAGGAAGTCTTGCTGCAGTTCTGATCGGAACGACACAACTGCACTGGAGAGGGTGTAGAAGGGATTCACCAAGATATTGCCCGGGATGAAAAGTCTGAGTTATGAGGAAAGACCAGATAGGCTGTGTTTGTTTTCCCTGGAGCAGAGGAGGCTGAGGGGGAATCTAATTTAAGTATACAAAATTATGTAGATAGAGTACATTGAGAGAATCTTTTTCCTACGGCAGACGTGTCTAAAACCAGAGGGCGCAAGTTTAAGGTGAGGACTAAGTGATTTAGAGATCGGAGGGAAAGATTTTCCACCCAGAGGGAGCTAAAAATATGGAAGACATGCTTGAGAGGATGGTGGCTGCAGACACTCTCGCAACATTTAAGCAGCATCTGGAAGGGTACTATGCTGTAGGCTACGGTCAAGTGTAGGTAAATAGGATTGGTGTAGTTTGGGGTTTGTTGGTCAGTATA